CCCCCCCCCCCTTGGCACAAGCAATTAGCATCCAAAAGCTGAGCAGAATAAATGAGGATCTCATTTTGCCTCTTTTATATAAACGGCAATTTCTCTGGCAGTTGCCAAGAAATTCAAAATTCAAGCAGGTGGTTACAGCTGCTGAATGTTAAGGAAACCAAGTGAGTCTGTGGCCTTTGGCAGCGTTTTTTGTTTACCATCCTGGCTCCCTCTGCAGAGCTGTCCTCAAATCTATGACTTTCCCAGTCTTGCTGCAATAGTGTGACTCAGCCTCGCCAAAACGGCTTACCCGGTGCAAGCAAATTATCTTGGCAGAATTTTTCTGAGCATGGACAATTGGAGGAGGACAGAGAAAGAGAGACAGAGACAGGGAGACGGAAAGAATTTGGAGAGGCGCCAACATCATTAATGGCAGTCCAGCTTGAAATGCCACAGCTTGGAGAGCACATTCTTGGCACAGGTTGCCCGAGGGATCTAAAATAATCAATCTTCTGTACCATTCACCCAGGACATTTAATTCATCTCCCGAGGCAGCAACCTGGGGACAAAGATGCTGCTATAGCCCTACAGCAGTGGTTCTCAACCTTTCTAATGCCGTGACCCCATAATATAGTTCCCCATGTTGTGGTGACCCCCAAGTGGGTGTGGCCATCAATAAGAGGGAGTAGGACAGCTAGGGAAAAGGGAAAAAAATGGCGGACAGCGTGGTTTGGCGACCCCCGTGAAATGGTCATTTGACCCCAAATGGGGTCCCGACCCACAGGTTGAGAACCACTGCCCTACAGGGACAATTTCAAACTTGAGTTCTTGGCCTGAAATTCTGCAGAAAGGAGATAACTCTTGTGGGTGGAAGTCATACGAGATGCACCTTGGTAGATGAAAAAGATGATGAAAAAAAAAAAGAAACGAAAAAAGACTAAGCACTGCCTGGGAAAGACTTCAAGTTTGAACGTCACAACAACTAAAGAGATATCAAATATTGCAAGGTCATATGGCCTACAAGCCTAAAAAAAAAAAAACCCAGGCTGTTCTGACTACATAGGACAGTGATGGCGAACCTTTTAGAGACCAAATGCCCAAACTGCAACCCCAAATCCACTTATGCATCGTAGGGTGCCGGGTGGGTGTGGCCCATTGATGGACATGGCTGCAGTGGTAACGGCAGACTGGGTGGGACTCAAAAGTTCAATCAATCAATTCCAACTTTGCAAGATCTTTTTTTTTCCCCGCAAGAAGTTGACTGATTGATTGAACCCCCCCCCTTTTTTTTTTTTTTTGCACACAGTGGAGGCCTAAAGCGAAAAGGTTTTATAAAACCCAGCTAAAGGCCTAGGACTGGGGTGACGGCGCGCGTGCCCACAGAGAGGGCTCTGAGTGCCGCCTCTGGCACCCGTGCCATAGGTTCGCCGCCACTGACATAGGAAGTGCCAAATGGTTAAAACAATTTCTTTCATCTGGTTTTCCCGTGAATATTCTGGCTTGAAATGAGCCATTCTGACTGTGCGAGAGAAGCTGGAATAGCCCAGTTTGAGAGCAGAACGTTCTGGAAACCTACCGTCAGTCGATGCAAAGTGTAGGCAGAACTGACCTAGAGAGAGAACCAACTCAACAAAAAAGCCACTCCTTATATTCCAGAGTTAAACTAAACTTCCGCTTGCAGAAACACACTTTTAAACATCAAGTGATCATGAAAAAGCAGAAGAGGCCTCTTGTGAACTTCTTCAAAGCTAAATTTGGTGGGCTTTGTCTAAATTATAGAAACTCCAGACCGACCTACATGCCTGAAAGGGAAAAAAAAATGAACAATATAGGTCAGGGGTAGGCAACCCTGGCCTCATTTCTTTGCCCCAAGCAGTAGCCAGCCCTATACAAATGCAGATGTAAAACCATCAGAAAGTTGGAGCCAGAGCACTCAAGAAGACAAAGAGAAGATCTGCATGCCCCACCCAAACTCTAGGAGTTATTAGCCCCATCACCAGGGAAGCAGGATATGATAATAGGATTAAACCACAGATATCAAGGCCTAGAAAAACACTCGGAAATAGCCTCAAAGTTCATGCCAGGAACAGGAAACCATTCCAAACAAAAGACTAGAAGGGGTATAAAAACCCCTAGCCCATGTGCTCTCCCTCTTCTTCTCTCTGCTCTTTCAGGCAAGAACCATCTTTCTGCCTCTTCAATAAACTGTAACCTTCTTCCCAAAGCAGTCGCCATGTTGCTTATTTATTCCCGGCTTGGATGAATCAGGATGAAGACTTTAATTCAACACTTCCCACAGCGGTTTCGTCTTTATAGTATCCAATAATAAAACAGTAAACAGTATGATTATACTTGACATTCCACCCCAAGGTAACTGCAATATATAAAAAAGCGACTTTATAATCTTTGCAAAGGTTTTGTTTGGTTACCTAGACTATGATGGATTCCCAAGGTAGGATTCTGCACTCATAATGCCCTTGATCTTTTCAGAAGGTTGATTAGGAGACAGCCAGGCACCCATTCAAAGAGGGAAGCTCCCCCCCCCCTTCCCCCTTTGCAAGATACAGATTTTTACTACCTCTAATTTGTGGCAAAAATAGGGAAATGGTTTGCCATTTTATTCTACCAGAGTGCTTTTTTAAAAAAAAACTCCACAATCTAATTTATAGCCCTGCAAAGCCTCAAATTCAGCAGTGAGAGATTCCCCACTGTTTCTCTCTTTGTAATACAAATTTCATGCTTGCAAAAGGAAGAGGAGGAGGGGGGGGGAAAGGATTTAGGAGAGAGAAATGAGAATTCCATCAGAGGCAAAATAGTAGGGCAATACTGGAAACCCACAAGAGCCTCGGGTCCCTCTGTTGTAACCCTCCCTGCAGCAACTGTGCTAAATAAAGATATCCCCCCCCCCCCGAACCGCCTGGTTGTTTTGCGAAGCCCCAAAACCACAAGGATCCGCTTCCTCCACAATGACAAAGGGAGCTGTCGAGACACACACATCCCTCTCCCCAACTCGCCTAGACTATGTGTGAGGTGTGTTTATCCTGACGAGAAGCAGTTTGCCCGCACGTGCACTGCATCAAAAAACTAAGGGCTATTTGTCGGCAGAATGCAAAGTAATATCCGTCTTTCATAGGTCCATCTTTCTGATCTTCAAATACATTCATCCAGAGGAATGACATCTGTGCACCCTGAAGAGCTCCAGAAGATTCTCTAGGGACAAAACTGGGCGGGTATCTCTTTCGGTCAACCATTACAAATTCTCACATCCAGCAACAAAGGAAGGTTATTCCACCTTTCTTATGGGCACGTACAAAGCAGACTGAACATGGAATAAAAAGATTGGAAAGGACCGTGGAGGCCTTCTAGTCTTCTAGCAGGAGACCTTAATAATAATAATAATAATAAAGTTGGAAGGGACCTTGGAGGTCATCGAGTCCAACCCCCTGCTCAGGCAGGAAACTCTACACCATTTCGGACAAATGGCTGTCCAGTCTCTTCTGAAAAACTTCCAGTGTTGGAGCATTCACCGCTTCTGGAGGCAGGTTGTTCCACTGTTTAATTGTTCTAACTGTCAGGAAGTTTCTCCTTAGTTCTAGGTTGCTTCTTTCCTTGATTAGTTTCCATCCATTGCTTCTTGTCCTGCTTTCAGGCGCTTTGGAGAATAGCTTGACTCCTTCTTTGTGGCAACCCCTGAGATACTGGAACACTGCTATCGTGTCCCCCCTCGTCCTTCTCTTTGTTAAACTAGACATACCCAATTCCAGCAACCGTTCCTTATATGTTTTAGCCTCCAGTCCCCTAATCATCTTTGTTGCTCTTCTCTGTACTCTTTCTAGAGTCTCAACATCTTTTTTACATCGTTCCAGTCTCTTCTTGAGACTCTTCACGATTTTGCTTTCCAGAGCTCCATAAACAAGCTTTGTTCTAAGGCCCAGCCCACCCAACTGCTGCTGTTTCAGACATGCCCAGAGACCTGGGGATAGTTCATCAAGCCTGCTTTAATTCCACATCTGGAATTCTGGAAATACAACCTAGAGAAGACCTGCAAATTCCTCAGGTGGTGATGATTCAAAGGTCTCCTTATCAGAAAAACAGAACAAAGCAGTTCTCCTTTCTGAAGAAAAGAAGCAGAAAGGATCACCAGAAGCCACCAGAAAGAAATCACAGCTGAGTAATGACTTAACAGTGTATTACCCAGATTATGAGAGATGGCGCAGTGAACATACAAAAACAGAGATCCTAATGAACATTTTCTAATATTGCTTGCTAAAGCTGAGGACTAAAAGCATGTTTTTCTCAGTTAGAAAACTAGATTTCCCTCCCCCCCCAATTATTTTTGCAATCAAATGCATCGGGTGAGAATATCAACAAAGGGGTTATACCATTATTCATAGTTATTATCAACAATTCAAGAACTCAAGAATTTGCCATCAGAAAACGTTATATTTGCTATAACATGTTCAAGTGAGCCATATTTCATCCTTTGATTTGTCTGTACAAGGAGGAATCCAAAGGCCTACATATAAACAGAGCTCAAACCGCCAAAAGTCTAGGATCTGAACACCCAACGTAACATAATAAACACTTGAAGTTCCGGGCTTAATAAAAAGCGACAGTCTGTTTATCAAAGGTTTCCAGCCCTGAAGGGCAAGCAATTTTGCTTTTGACCTTTCTTATTTTTATTATTAATAGAAACTGCAATTTTCAGCAACTTACTCCACCCCCAACATCATTTTACACTTCTGCAAGGACATTCCTGAAGCCAAGTCCATCTGGTTACCTAGCTGTTGTAAATGGAGAGCATCCACAGCAAAATAGGATAGAAAAAAAAAAAACCCCAGATCTATGCTCAGCTCGAATTACTTGTGCTAAAACATGATGAACACACAGCTTTGTCCCTATTAGACCATGCACGCAGCCAAGTGATGAGCCGCACAAAAAAAAGTATGAGTAAGAGAAACAGGATGCCCTGTCATCTTCCGCAAAGGAAGGAAAAGTACGGCTTAGCCTTAGCAGATTACCTTGGGATCCAACCTCCAGTTCCAGATCCAGGTCTTCCAACTCTTTCCCCAAGGAATGGATTGGTGTCTCTGCGTCAGGAGTCCCAAAATTGGCTTCTGAATCCGAACTGCATAGGAAGGAAGGAAGGAGAGGAGAGGAAAAAAATTACTTCCTCCAACTAATCAAAGCAACCTTTCCAGCTTGTTATGAAGAACTGCTTTGAAAGACGGGTTGAAAAAAGAAACTGCACACTTACTGATGATGCATATAAAAAAAAAGATAGAGGGTTTGATTGCACGGTGGTGGACACCATGTTATGCACTCCTCCGATGACCCTGACTTTCAGGTATTATCTACCACCTTCACTTACCTGTCCCTTTTTTTTCTGGACATCTTTCAAACAGAGCACTGAGCTGGAGTGACCCAAGCTTGAAAAATGCCTCTGAAATTAACATGGCTTCACTGGCACCGTAGGAAATTCAGATAATACTGAAGGTGGGCGCTTTGCTCCAGAACACACATGCGTCTTTCAGTTGGTTTTTATTTTAAATAATCTAAAAAGCATGGGCAGGTTGGAAACAAAGGGAAATACCAGGCACATGGCTTCTCACGGGCTCTCTGTTGAAGAACAAGGAAATAAGTCTTCTACGGGTGTGAGCAAACATGAATTTGTGGCTTTCGGTGTTTTGCCTATTTGAACAGCAGCATTGTAGTAGCATTCACAGTGTGCGTTTCCTTCCCTGTGGTTGTCCCAAGGAAGTTGTTTTGGCTCCTTCAGCAAGCTCAAGGACCACAGCAGCAGAAAGCAATTAAATTCTCCCCCCTCCGGTGCATGCTTCATCCAATTATTAACCAGGTTCCCTATGGATGCTACGTAAGGCCCTGAACTTCATTTATAAGAGGTCACCAGGAGTGCATGGCACTGGCTTCTAATTAATTTCCAGGTGCAATTCAAAAGGCCACCATGAACCATTACAGCCCAACCTGACCTGGCACTGAGCTATATACGGGATCACATTCTTCTGCTTGTTGAATCAAGACAACCAACTTTATTGTCCCAGGAGAAATTGTTGGCAGGATCCCAGTTCCAAGAAGTTGGGAAGTCTAAGCAAGGAGGTGCTTCTTTTCTGGGACAAAATCTGCTCTTTGAAATAACCTCTCTCAGCGGCAGCCTGATGGACCTGCGCAAGCTGCTGGCAGCGGCGGCCCGTGTGCCCACAGAGAGGGCTTTGAGTACCGCCTCTGGCACACGTGCCATTGGTTCGCCACCACTGAGCTAGGCCAAAACTTTCCACTTAATTAAAATTAAAAGCATGTTATGGAGTCGCTGTCTCTTTGGGCCCATCGCGTCCAAACACCTGTTCCATGCAAGAATCCAAACATCTTAAATGGGATGGCCCCTCCTCTTCTCCCATTGCACCTGCTAACTTGGTGGGAAAGGCTATGACTCAAGGCTGCAATCAAAGGTTTCAGACAGCTGCACCCTTCCAAACGCTTTTCCCTGTAGCATCGCTCTAGAATGCTAATTGCATCTTGCTCTAGATGACTAGAGAGGGTAATGGCCGATGGGGGAATCAACTCTCTGCCGCCCAAATGGCAGCATTGAAAAGGCAAAATTTGGTTCCCAGTTGGCAGATCCAAGGAGCAGAGGGCACTGGAGCAAAATAGTCACTCTCTCTCTAGAATTTACTTCTGGACTCAATTAAAGCCGTTGCAGAGATTACGTGGCAGCCTGGATGTGCCTGTGTGTGTGTGTGGGTGTGTGACCCATCATCGCAGGGGTAGTCAACCTTGGCTCTTTTATGACTCGTGGACTTCAACTCCCAGAATTCCTGAGTCATAAAAGAGCCAAGGTTGACTACCCCTGAGATTCTAGAGCAGTGGTTCTCAACCTTTTTAATGCCGCAATCCCCAACTGGTCATAAGTTGAGACTAAACTGGTCGTAAGTCAAGGACTAAACCGGTCGTAAGTCGAGGACTAAACCAGTTGTAAGTTGAGGACTTTCCCTGCCCAGGAGCGCCGCGCATGCGTGGTGCCGCCCCCTGCGCCAGCTGAGGCGTAGCTGGCAAGCGGCAGAGACGGAGCAGGCCGACCACCGGCTGGGCCACCAGCTGGCCCAGCCCAAGGGAGGTAAGGCACCCGCCGGAAAAGGGGGGGAAAAATGGCGGACAGCCTTGCTTGGCGACCCCCGTGAAATGGTCGATCGATCCCAAATGGGGCCACGACCCATAGGTTGAGAACTGCTGTTCTAGAGCTTCCAAGGTAGTTGTTCTGAGCAGGTCAAGGAAGACTGAGAAAAAAACACCCACCCTCTGAAGGAGACAGCTAGTCCCAGTGTGGCTTCAGCCTCTGGGTCAGCTGCTGACCCCTAAGATAAAGCACAGCAGGAACATGTCAAGGCTGTAGGATAAAGCTTCCCAGCATATTTGGGAATAGCCAGAGCACATTTTACATCCTGATGATGGTGACACATTCCTGGTCCAAGGACTCACCAAGGCGTGGAGGCTTATGTCCAGATGCGGCCAGAGGAAAGGCAGTTCCCCCCCCCACACACACACAAACGGCTAACTCATAAATCATGGTTAACGGCTAAACGACAGCAAAACGGGCAGCTTTCTGCTTCAGCCTGCGATGTGGAACAGGCCACCCTATTGCGCCACACCGTGACTTGCTTCTTTGGGCTTAACCACCACCGTGGCTTTTTCATCGTGATTTACGGTTTAGCCGGTTGCGTCCCGACAGTTGCCAGGGTAGAAAAAGCCAGACATGTGCACACCGAGGGCTTCCCACTCTCCCTCTGGAGGACCCCGCCGAGACAGAGGCGAGACGCGCAGAGACACGCGTGTCCTTCGCCCACGTAAGTCAACCCCCTCGTTCCGCTGCCAGAGCCGCCCTGGCTCGGTTCAGAGTTTCTCTTTCACACGCCATCCCCGGACGCGCAAGCCGATCGCACGGAAAGCGGCCGTTTGGGACGGAGGCCACGCGAAGTCTCCAGGTGCGCCCGGAGGCGCAAAAGCGCCTCTGCGCTCGCAAGCGCCCCCGGCCCCATCCGGCGCCCTCTCCGGGCTGACCCGCGAGCCCTCGGAGGCCGACTCGAGTCTGCCTCGGCGGAACGTGTGAAAAGGGCCCCCAGCGGCAGCGCCGCGCTGCCCCGACTTGCCTGAGACTCAGCGACTTGGTCTCCGCCTGCGCCGCCGTCTCCTCCTCCGCGTCCTCCGCCTGCCCGGGCGCCGGGCCCCTCTCCCCGGCGGCGTCGAGGTCATCCTCCGGCTGGGGGTCCGCGGGGCCGCCCTGGCCGCCGCCTCGCACGGCCGACCAGGTCCACTTGGCCCATTGCACGGGCGAGAGCAGCTGCCAGGAGCTGCTGAAGGCCATGGGGGCCGCCGTCAAGATGGAGAGGCTGGGCGGCCAGGGGAAGCGCCGGGATTTCGGAGCGAGCCGAGCCGAGCCGGCGCGGATGCGGTCAGCCGTGAGCCATCGCTTCTTCTCCCCGCCGTCCTCCGCCCCGCCTCGCCTCGCCGCCGCTTCCTCCCCCGGAGCAGGAGCGCCGGTTGCTGCCTTTCCGCGGAGGCGCGCCGGGGGGTGCTCGCAACGCGCCCTGCTCCGGGAGAAGCAAACCAGCCGCCCCGCTGCCTCCCTCCCAGGGGGGGGGGGCTCCGGTTGGCTTGCCTGGCCAAAGGCAGGGGGGGGAGGGAAGAGGAAGAGGAGGAGATCGTCGCCGTCGCCCTGTGCCCACCCGGTCACTCGTTCCCACGTTCGCGTCTCCTCCGGGCTGGCTACGCAAGGCTTGGGCGCGCTGCCCGATGGCGTTTGCTGCCTGCGGGGGCGGAGTGCGCCCCTCCTTTTCGGACTAAACGCGAATTAAGGAGGAGGAGGGGACGAAGAGCGGGTAGCTTGAGTTCTGGCGCACAAGGCCCCCTTCACACGTTACATTCAGGCGCAGGCTGAAAACGCATCCCCGGCCCAGTAAAGCAAGGTCTCCAAAGGACGCCCCAGACAGAGGAATGAAGCTGCTGCGTCTTAGGGAATGGATGGGAAGGCGCCAGTTGCTTGAAATTTGCCTGGATTCGGGCAACAGGTCGCGGTGCAGGGAAATAATAAGACATTGGGAAGACATGAAAAGATCCCCAACCTACGAAGACTGTGGATTGGAAACGGATTTTCCTTCTGCCACTTCTGTTCTAAATTGCAACTTTCATTCCAGGCCCCGATTCTTGGCTTTTTTAAAAAAAAGTTGTGGGCAGGATCCTCAATCAGGAGAAAAATGTCATCTTTGGAGGTGCAAAATTGGGCAACTGCAAGCGGCCTTTTCAAAAGCATTGTCCTTGGCTGACGCCAAAAGAACTGACTGAATAGAAAAGGCCTTTTCAAACCCACCAGACTTGCTTTGGAAATGCTTGATTTCAGGTCTGTTTACTTCAGTTGCTACTTCCGTTGTGTCACTTCCTTCTGGCATCACACCACACTTCAGTCACCTTGAGTAGCGAAGGAGATAACAAAGAAAACACTCACAGCCAACAGCTTGAAAACTCCCCGGCTTAATGAATTGAATTCAGTCTAGTTCGCAAAATCTCACTGTATGTTTATGCTGGCAGGATGTGGTTTCCTAAGTCTTGTGTTCCCAGGACACAGTGAAGAATAAGATAACCACAATGGCTCCCTGCACACGTTCCGATCCGTTACTATTGAGAGGCAACTAGATTGTGGGTGGGCTCAAATGTCTTGGGTAAGCTACGTATCTCTGGAGCAATGGGGTTTTTTGTTTTCCCTTCTAAGTCCACACTGAACTTGGTGGACCTGAAGCTTGCTTGGCTTCATTGCATTTCAACGTTCAGAGGGTTAGCTAGCAAGACCAGTTGAGGGGAAGTGACAAAGGGTTATAAAGCAAATCAGACTTGAAAACTCTGGCTTTTCTATTTACCTTTAGGCCAGGACAAAAGTCCCTAATCTCTGGGCCACAGCCCACCAGTGGGTGTTTGCAACCCGGCCGTGGAAAAAGCAGGCACACACACAGGCGCATCCCCACTTGCACGAGCAGCGAGGGTGTGCACGTGTGCTCCGTTTGCATGTGCGGCAGGCACATGTACACTGCTCATGCAAATGGAGCTGTGCGCATGTGCCCGTGTTTGCCAGCCGCTCACACAGAACCATCCCTCCCCCCCCCCCCCGCTGGTCTGTAAGGTTGGGGAACTCTGCCCTAGGGCTTCCCAACCTTGACCACTTTAAGTTGTGTGGACCTCAACTCCCAGAATTCCCTAGCCAGAGATATTAAAGTCTACGTGTCTTAAAGTTGCCAAGCCGCCAAGAAATCGTGGGTGCTCCATCACGGGAGATTTTTAAGAAGAGGCTAGACCGTCACTTGCCTGAGATGGTATAGGTTCTCCTGCTTAATCGGGGGAGCTGGACTAGAAGACCTCCAAGGTTCTGTTCTATTCTATTCTATTCTATTCTATTCTATTCTATTCTATTCTATTCTATTCCATATTTTCTATTCTATTCTATTCTATTCTATTCTATATTTTCTATTCTATTCTATTCTATTCTATTCTATTCTATTCCATATTTTCTATTCTATTCTATTCTATTCTATTCCATATTTTCTATTCTATTCTATTCTATTCTATTCTATTCTATTCTATTCTATTCTATCCTATTCTAATTTGTTGTGCCCTGTGAGAGGTGCCAGCCGTTCCAAAGTCACACTATGAAATGCAGAACCATCCAGCCCACCAAGCCAGGGACTGTTACCAAAACAATTTGTTTGAATATAATTGGACAGCTAGAGATACCCAAGGGGGAAGGTGGGAATAGGGGAGACGTTAACCTCATATTTTGGGCCAGAAAAGCTCCAATCTTTCTGTCAAAAGGAAGAATATACAATGTTTGCTTCTCTGTAACCATTTGGCTTAAGTAAAATATACTTTTGTTAACAATGTATCTGAGAATCTTTTTTTTCCCCCCTAACTGACCAAGTTGGGAGGGCTGACAAAGGCTCTCCTCTGAACAAATCAAGGTCTTTCTACAAAGAATGGCGCTTGGCAGGAAAGCTAGGAGGCCAACCTCTCTGATCTTTCAGCCAAGGTTGTCCTTGCCTTTACAAATCACCCTGAGGACCCCCTGTCAAAGGGGATCCAGCCTTCTGTGCCAAGACAAAAGCGGTGCCTGATATAAAAGATTCCAACCGGGTCATTCAGAGGAAACACACTGACAGTCTTTCTTCAGCAGTGCAAAAGATGAAGGATGCCTCTTTAAGACAAGTCTCCATGAAAAAGCAGCTGAAACATTTCCCACCGCTCTGGCACAAAGCTTGATTTGGGAGCAGGAACAGGACACCCAAATCCACCAAGCCGAAAAGAAAGGAATAGGAAGAAAACGGGCCATTATTAAAACAACAGGGCAGATTTTTCTGGAGAGGGACGACCACGGAGGCAAGTTTTGAGCTGGCTTGCAAAATCTCCTGCCAAATGAAATTAAAACAGCAGATTTATCAAACTGACCAGGACGCAAAGACACACCGTCAAGCTGACATTCTGCATTTACCAAATGGAGGAATTGTTTTTCTTAAATAATTTGCCATTAAGACAGGAGGCCCGTCCTACGTCCTCCGTTACAGCCATTCGTTCGGCAACTGTTCAAACGTGCAACAGCACCTGAAAAAAGTAACTTATATGACCGGTCCTCGCACTTATGGCCATTGAAGTGTTCCCACAGTTACACAATCAAAATTTGGGTGCTTGGTAAAGAGAATGCATTTACTACAATTGCAGCATCCCGTGGTCATGCGATTTCCCATTTGGGACTTTCCTCTGGTTTCTGATAAGCAAACTTAATGGGGGTAGCTGGATTCACTTAATAGCCACATGCTTCACTTAACAACTGAGGGGATGTATTTAACAACCGTGGCAAAACAAGGTCATATATAGTATGTTGAAATGTGTGTTGTGTATGTGTATACTTGAGAACAAGCAGCTAAATTTCATTTTTAATGGGTGCCGTTGTGCCCACAGGAAAAAAATTGACAATAAAGGTTATCTAATCTAAAAATAATTGGGGATGCCTCAGCTTGCTTAGCAATAGAAATTCTGGTCCCAAGTGCAATCATAAGCTGAGGACCACCTGTCTCCTGAATATGGTAACGTGACGAAGTTTTTTTTCCCCTTTATTTTTATTTTGGAGGAGAGGAGATCATTTTAAATTTCAAATCATCTTCCTTTTGGGCAATTGCAGGTAATGTCTGCAAGAAAGAACAGTCTATATTTTTTCTCTCTCTCACTTCTGCACCACTAGATCTGGCTGCAAAGTTCCCGGGAAATCCTACAAGAAATGCAGAGCAAAGCATCTCACTTCACGGGGACCTGAGGCTAATCACATTCCAGTCAGGTTAATATTTAGATGAAACGCCATCAGGATGTTCCAGCACTAGAAGCTAGCTGGGGAATTAATGTCCCGATAAAAGAATATTTATAGCTCAGGGTTGAACTGAGCATCCTTGGTGCTCTGTGAGCTTTTCTTTTTTTTGCAGATATTTCATTACCAAACTAGGTAACATCATCAGTGCACTGAAAACCACAAAGCTCTGAATTAAATGTACAAACATCTTAACCAATTCCAGCAACCGTTCCTTACATGTTTTCGCCTCCAATAATATTTATATGTTACTTATATGTAAGGGTGTAGGTCTATACACAGGTCGTATATAGTATGTTTTAAATATGTGTTATTGTTGGAATATTCATGAGCAGGAAGAGTCATGTGGTAACTCAGTCAGCCAATGTGAACAAAGTGCTACTGAGTCTGCAAAAAGGTATTGAGTTAGAAGCTGAATTTTCAGTCTCAGGTTTGTCTCTGTGTCTCTCTGTAAGAAGTCTTCATTGAGCTATGTTGCTGTAAAGAAGAATGTATGGTATTGTAAATATTTTGATATGAATATAAAAAAGGTTATTTGAATCAGCTAAATGCAGTCAACTGTGAGAGCTTCTGATTTATATTTCACCAACGGAGAGATTAAAATTCTCTAACAGTTACCTATGTGTACACTTTGAGAGCAAACAACTACATTTCATTTTTAATGTGTGCCATTGTGCCCACAGGAAAAAAATGACAATAAAGGTTATCTAAAAAAAAATCTAATCTATCCTGGTTATTACTGAGATGCAAACTTAAAAGTTTCAGTTCTTAGGAAATGCAAGGAGAAACCCAGAAGTGGTACAAACCTAATTTGGAATACAACTATTACAGCCATGTCAAAACTGAATAGTTTTTTAGGATCATTCAAGGATCAGCTCTTAATCAGAGTGAAGAGTTTATACTCCTTAAAAGAGGTTGGTGTGTAACCCAATGGTGCAAACCACTTTTATTTTCACAAAGAGGGGGAACTCAACAGGAACAAATCTTTTCTTTTAGAGGGGCTGCTCCCCGTCCCACAGAATAAATAATGTCCATTCAAAATTAAGTGCTGGTGATAACACGATTAATTGTTTTAAATACCGCGTTTGCTCAACGAAATTTGCCTCTGGAATGAGGACACTGGCCTATCTCAAAGGGCTATTTTGGGAATGACTTCAAACAGGAGAAGCTACTGAAATATTTCAGCTACACAAAGGTCTACAAGGCATTATCTAAGAAGTGCAAGGAAAGCTGCATGCAAATTTTGGTGGTGGCTTACAGGAAACCCTGCTGAGGTTTTTTTTTATTTTTCCCCTGCCGGCCAGCTGTTAGGTAGCTACCCGGCAGAAAACAGGAGGTGGGTTTCCTGCTGCTATGGGAAATGAGAATCTATATTCCTGGAGGATTTCAAGAAGGAAAGCCTTTCAGCCCTTTTGAGCAACTCTGCAAAATATTTCTGGTTTCCTACAGTTCCGGTTTCCTGCAATCTACATTATAGGAAAAGGAAAGAACCAGCTTATTATTCCCCCCATGCAGGAAAGTTCTTAACGTTCACAGTAGAGGGAGCTTTGAGACAGCTTTTCCAAGCAAAGGATGCCAGGGAGGAAATTTGTCTCCTTGCCAAAGCCAAGAGCCACACTGCAAAACCTTGAGCCACAAAGAGTCCAATTTTTAGCCTCTGCAGCCCTGACATACCTCCACTGCCAGGAATATTGCACAAGCAGAATTTTTTTTTTTGAAGGGTAGTTTGCTGTAACCTTGGTTACATAACATTTCTGGCTGTTGCTAAGAAACCTGGAGTAGGAAGAGGCCCTGATGTGGCAAGGAATCAAGCAACTCAGCTACCATCAAGGATTTTTCAAGATGGTATTGTATAATCCAAGAATGGTTCACGTGATAATTCACAAACCTCAGTAATCCTGGTTATGGATGAAATAGGAAGACGTTTGCACCATGCATCACCATCGGCTGATATTTCCCCCTAAACAGGCCACAAATTCTGTGTCTGGAATACAGTGCCTGTTATCTGGAGGTATCACCAGTGTACTTCCTGCAGATTCTTTTGCAAAGAGCTGCCCAAATATGACCAAAATGCAGAAAGCTTTCTGGCTGATAACTTTCCTGCCAGAATTGGCAAAGATGTCAGCTGCTCTGTTAGGAAGACACAGATGAGTTGAGAGAATAAATGGCACCTGCCCTGGTCCTCAATGGACATAGTACTAAGCAAACAAGGTGTTTCTTTACAGAATTTGCCTCTGATATCCAGGAAGAACAGCTCAGGTTCCAAAAGGTTTTCCCCCTCAATTACACAAGAGACAGAGGGATAGAATCAAGATCACGTGAAGTATTAATACCACTCTTCAATGCCTTGGTAAGGCCACCCTTGGAATACTGCATCCAGTTTTGGTCACCATAATGTAAAAAAGATGTTGAGACTCTAGAAAGAATGCAGAGAAGAGCAATAAAGATGATTAGGGGACTGGAGGCTAAAACATATAAGGAATGGTTGCTGGAATTGGGTATGTCTAGTTTAACGAAGAGAAGGATGAGGGGGGACATGATAGCAGTGTTCCAATAGCTCAGGGGCTGCCATAAAGAAGAGAGAATTAAGCTATTTTCCAAAGCACCTGAAGGTAGGACAAGAAGCAACGGGTGGAAATTTATCAAGGAGAGAAGCAACCTAGAACTAAGGAGAAACTTCCTGACAGTGAGAACAATTGATCAGTGGAACAGCCTGCCTCCAGAAGCGGTGAATGCT